GAAAATTTAATAAAATTTTCCAAATTCCTAATGGTCTCGTTCACTATCCAGCGAGGGCAGTCGGATATGTTCGCAGAATAGATTATTCTTTTCAAGGGATTTTACTTTGTTCTGTTGCTGATAATTCTGAAGAAGTGTGCACTCCAAGGAATCCATCAACGCCTTGATCCTTCGAATTGAGAGGTGTAGGGTTTCTTTTGTCATGTTTGCAAAACAAATACGAAACCAACCCGGTTCAGTGCAGTGAAAAGAAGATCCCGGGGAGACATTTAAACCGGATTCGTATAGAATTCTCTTCCATAGCTCCGTTTCTGCTTCAAATGTATTAGATGTTAGCAGGTGTCTCATGTCAATCCAGCAGAATAATCCCGCATTGCTCCTTAGACACTTGATACCGATTTCTAGGAGCCAAGAAACCAGCAGTTTTTGCCTGTTTTTCAATCTCAGTTGATTCTCTTTGATATACATTGTGGTGAATTTTTTATCAGCAAGAATTTTGGAAAGTAGATACTGCGATTGTGAAGAAACAAGTCCAAAACTCGACATTTTTGTAGCAGCAGCAATGAGGGTTTCGTTGTTGGAATAAATCAAACCAATCCTGAATCCGGGAAGACCTAAATCCTTCGACAGACTAGAAACAATGTGAATTTGTGTCGAAATATCAGAATTTTGAAGATCCCTTTTGTTCAGAGCTTCCATGACGCTTATGAATCTTGATGAATCAAAAACTGTCCCAGAATATATTTCGTCACTCACAATGTGGATGTTCTTGTCCAGGGCAAAGTTAATGATTTGGTTTAGCTCTTCAAGTTTCATTGTCGTGCCTAATGGGTTTGAGGGATTTGTAAATAACAGCCCCTTAACTTTTAACTGGAGTTTTTGTGCATGTTCATAAGCTTCTTCTAGGGAAGATATAGTAATTCTGAATTGATTCTGACTGGAGCAGTGGATTGGAACAATTTCAACCCCAGTTCTCCACTTGAGATCCCTGTCAAACCTGGTTTTAGGGGAAAAAAGTTGTTCCAGTTGTAATGACCGACTATTTTTGAGAAAATATTGAGTTAATTATGTAGAAATTTGTGTTAGAACAGTAATAATACCCAGGATAGTACGGTGTAGGAATCAAAAAAGCTTCACCAGGTTCAGCAAGACAAAACATGAGAATTTCGTTTGCTGATGTTGCGCCAGCTGTGAGTACAAGCTTGTTGCGCTCAAATTTTACTTTGTTTTGTCTAACTTCAGACATGTAATCTACCAGTCCCTGAATATATATAATACAACATCATGAACTTTTCATATAGTAAAAAATGCATTAACTTGCGAATCATTGAAATAAATTACTTTCTTGAAGGCAGGCAGGCCATGGTAATCTTGAAAGAGAGCCAATTCTCTGAATATGGATCCTCCTCTTTTCTTAAACCCTGTCTTGTTATGGCTTCCTGTAATCCATGACTCCAGAAGATCGAAGGACAGCTGACGAGTAATCCAAGAAAATAAAATGTATAATAACATGTAAAATACTGGAGTACTGCATAGTGCAGTCCACCATCTACTC